TGCCAAAGTGGCTGTACAAGTTGACACTCCCACCAGCAGTGGAGGAGTGTTCCCCTTTCTCCACATCCTCTCCAGTGTGAATTGTCATTGGTGTTTTTGATTTTGGTCATTCTGACAGGAGTAAGATGGTATCTCCGAGTTGATTTGATTTGCATTTCCCTGATGGCTAAGGATGTCGAACACTTTCTTATGTGTCTTTCAGCCATTTTAGATTCCTCTATTGAGAATTCTCTATTTAGTTCTGTACCCCACTTTTTAATTGGATTGTTAAATGCACTTCTTAATTGATCTAATATCCAGAGTTCTTTTTTAAAAGTTTTTTTTTTTTTTTTAATGTGCATTGGTATTTTGCTTGCACATTTGTTTGTGTGAGAGTGTCAGATCTTTGGAATTTGTTTGTGTGAGAGTGTCAGATCTTTGGAGTTACAGGCAGTTGTGAGGCCCCACGTGGGTGCTGGGAATTGAACCTCAGTCTTCTGGAAGAACAGCATGTGCTCCCAACCACTGAGCCATCTCTCCAGCCCCTATTCCACTGTTCTTAATACACACTTCATTCTCTCCTTAGTTTCTGGTATCTGCTCCTCCACTCCCAGTGTGCCTCTAATTTGATTTCACAGCATATCAAGAAAAACATTTCAAAAATCTAACTCATTTGGTGCTTATATACTGAGGAGCCCAGAAAGTTCTTAATCAGAACTCTTTGAGTTACTATCTGCTGTCCACCAGAGAACAGTGCAGCTCTTCTCAGCTTGGGAAAGTCTGATATCCACATTTCACCTTCATAGCCTTGGATAGTTTCTGTCAGGAGGTCTGACTCTGTCTCATGTATCTTTTATCTCTCGTGCTCAGGACTTGACATAATGCAGGCAGACACTCAGTATGAAGTGAACATGCTCTTATCAGGAATGGCCTTTGATCATTACCCCAGCGTTTCCCTTTATTGCCTTCCTCTCTAGTGATACTGTAAGCTGCAGGGTTATAGGGACCTTGTCTGAGGCTTCAGCCCTGTAATGTCAGATCTTAGCACAGTGTCTACCCAATAAATGTTTGTTTTGTTAGAGAAGTCTGAATAGGCTGGGGCTGGGGGTGGGTGGGTAACTGGTCTGCAACATTTGGTTTCTTTCCCATTATAGCAGCAGCAGAATGGGAGGGAAGGAGCTGGCATGAGCCTTTGCTGAACCATTGTCTCAGCCCACAGAGGGTAATTGGCAGCAGCTGGTGTCCAGAACTGATGTAGCGGAGTGTTTTACTGTTCTCTCTTAGGTGAATGTTGTGAGGTCATGTTTACTTCACACACATATACCCCTTTGCTTTATGACAAGGTAGCCCTAAAGCAGGTATTTAGTGTTGTGGTGGAATGTTAGTAAAATGCTGTGTTAGTAGAGGAGACACTTGATCTGGCTTTAGAGGGCTTTGAACTCACTTTGATCTGCCTGGTTTTGCCTCCTGGGTGCTGGAACGAACGGCAGTTGCCACCTTGCCACAAGGCTGGCCTTAAAGTCACAATGATCCACCTGCCTCTGCTCCCCGCCCCCAAGAGCTGGGATTAAAGGCATGCACCACCACCACCCAGCAAAGCTCACTTTTTTAAGATTTAATTTTAGGGGGCTGGAGAGATGGCTCAGAGGTTAAGAGCACTGGCTGCTATTCCAGAGGTCCTGAGTTCAATTCCCAGCAACCACATGGTGGCTCACAACCATTTGTAATGAGAGCTGGAGCCCTCTTCTGGTGTGCAGATATACATGGAAGCAGAATGTTGTATACATAATAAACAAATAAAATCTTTTAAAAAAAGATTTAATTTTATTTTAGACGGGGTCTCACAATGTAGCTAAGTTAGCCTGAAACTTGCTATGTAAACCAGGCTGGCTTTGAACTTCCGATCTCTGCCTCCCTGGTGATGGGATCTAAAGCATTCAGCGTCATTCCTGACTAAAGCTCACTCTTTAAAGTGTACACTGGTGTGACTTTTAGTGTATTTGCAAGTTGTACTACCATCATTTCTATATCCAGAGCATCACCCAGCAAGAGGCCCCAGTTCCCGTTTCACATAAAACTCAGGCCTATTGCTGTATGTGTAGTCCAGCTACTTGAATCTGAGCTGGGAGAAAACCTTGAAAACTAGAGTAACTAGATAATGGTTTGCTTCTTCCTTTGGTGGAAAGTGCCTGAAGGCACCTGAAAATTTCTCCTCGCTTATTTATTTTTATTCAAGAATTCAATTCCATTTATTATTTGTGTGTGTGTAGTGCTTAGGAGGTAACTTGGAGAAATCGGTGGGGTCTCTCCCCGGAATCTGGATTGAATTCAGGTAGTCAGGCTTGCAAGCAGGCACTTTTATCAGCCAACCCAATTGTTATTTTTATTATTTTTCAGTTGTTTATTTTTTTAAGCAAGTAGGTTTTCCACTTAAACTCTGCAATTAGTCATCAGGTTCGATTTCTTTTTGAAAGGCTACCTTGGAAAGTACCTTTAGTGAAGATCCACAGATAAGGTTACTAAAAAAGAATGTTAATTCTCATAGGAAAAGCCTGTGCTGCCTTGGTGGGATAATAATGCTTTATTAGTGTGATGCTGAGGTCACTGAAGGAAAGGCTTCTTTATAAATCATAGCCTTAAACTTCCAGAGCTAGCCTCAGCCAAACTGGTGACAGTTCGTTCTCTCTCTCTCTCTCTCTCTCTCTCTCTCTCTCTCTTTGAGACAGGGTGTCATTATGTAGCTGTCCTGGAACTCACTGTGTAGACCAAGCTGGCCTGGAACTCACCTGCTTTGTAAGCACTGGGATTAAAGGCATGCATCACTACTCGAAGCTTAGTAGAAGTTCTTTCAAACCTTAAAACTTTGATATTGTCGAAATGTCTTTTAAAAAGCCATAGGAAAACTGCAAAAAATTGTATAGAGCCTATGGAGATATAATGGGCTGAAAAATCTGTTTTACAAACCGAGAGAAAAATGCCCAAATTTTAGTCAGAAATTAGATATTTCTACCCAGATTTTTGTATATGTGCATATAAGATATCATTGAAAGCAGTTCATTTGTTGGCAAAATAGTAAAGTCTTGTACTCTGGTGTTTGTTCTCTCAGAGGGTAGGATAATCGAAAGACAAACGAAGCAACCACTTCCACTTGGAAGTTTGTTTGTAGTTCCCCATAAAAAATTTCAAGCAGGATCCATTTTGTTTGAAAGATTGGCCTTCTATTGAGGTTACTGTGCCAAATTCCGGTATTGTCTTTCATCTCTGGGAAATGGATGAGATGCTTATCAATTCTAGCTGCTTTTTGTGAGGGTAAACATTGTTACTCATTTCCTTTTTGGTGCTGCAGAGGTGTAGTCAGGTTCTTAGAACCCTGTGGGTTTTTTTTTTTTTTTTTTTTTTTTTTTCCAAAAGCTCTACCGTCATTTATAACTTAATGGTAGCATTACATTTTGAGTAGAAACAACTCATGAAAGCTTTGTATTGGGGAGCTGAGGCAGGTGGATCTCTGTGTTTGAGGCCAGCCTGATCTACAGAGTGAGTCCTAGGACACTCAGTCTCAAGATGAAAGGCCATCTTAGGTGTACTGACCTTGTCTGGATTTATTTAGAACGCAAAGATGAGAGAATTTTAAATTATTTGTACAGAATGGTTTTAATGCAGTGGGTGGAAAAACTCCCTAAGTTCCCCAGCCTGCCTTTTGTGGCCTCAGTATCTCTTTTCTTCACATTATTTTTCTTCCTCAAATGTCTTTTTTGATAACAGTGGCAAACAGTTTGATTTTTGGTTGCCTTTTGTTTCAAACTGCTTCCTGCTATTTATGAGTCTTACTGAAGACGTTCGTTGTAAGGGCTGGAGAGATGGCTCAGTGATTAAGAGAGCTGTAACTCCAGTTCTCAGGGCTCTGACGCCCTCTTCTGACCTCCGTGGTTATCAAGCATCCATATGGTGCACATACATACATGCAGGCAAATATTCATGAACATAAAATTAAAAATAAAAGTATATTGTAAGTGCTTTAGGTCGGATCTTTTTTCTTTTTCTCTTTTTACTAGTTCTTTTGTATCCAATATTGTGCCAAATAATAGGGAAGAGGCTCTGAGGGCAAACCACAAACAGGCACCATCCTAAGTGTTGTTTGAGGACTAACGGTTAATTCTGCCAACAACCCTGTACAAGGAAGGTAGACACAGGCTCTAGAAAAGGAAGCTAAAGAAGGTTAAGGGTCTGGAAAACGCTGCCTAAAATCATAGGTCCACATGTCTTATAGTTAGGCTTTGAGCCCAACAGTGTGTGCCAGTCAACACAGAAGGGCCTTCTTTTGTGAGGCATCAGTTCACATGTCTGCCGTTTTCAGGTTGCTGCCTGGCATAAAAACCATTATAGAATGACACAGTAGTTCCAAAATACATTGAAAAAAGGATTGTCAAAAAGCAGACTTTTTGCTGGGTGTAGGTGGCACATGCTTTTAATTCCAACACTAGGGAGGCAGAAGCAGGTGGATGTCTGTGAGATTTAGGCCAGCCAGAGCTAGTGATACCCCATCTAAACAAAACAACAAAAACTGGTTCATGGACTAGCCAGATGGCTTATCAGGTGAAGGCACTTATTACCAAATATAAATTTGCTCTGTGGGACCCATACAGTGGAAGGAGGGAGTCAACTCCTGAAAGTTGTCCTCTGACATGTGCTCATGTGTGCATATGGGCATACAAAATACAAATATAAAAATCAAACTGTTTTCTCAACTTTTACTTTAAAAAATTAAAAGCCTTAAGAAAGGAGAGCTGTGTGTGGTGGCATCAGTTTTCAATCCCAGCACTCTGGAGTCAGAAGGAAGTGGATTTCTGGATTCAAGCTTAGCCTGATCTATACAGTGAGTTATAGGCCAGCCAGGACTACTTAATGGGACCTTGCCTTAAATTAAGAAAGAAAGGGAGGAGGGTGGAAAGGAAGGAAGGAAGGAAGGAAGGAAGGAAGGAAGGAAGGAAGGAAGGAAGGAAGGAAGGAAGCAAGCTACAGCCACTTAAGCTGACCAGGTCCCTTTTTTGATGGAGGCCTTGTATGCAGTGGCTGCAAACAGCATTGTCCTTAGTAGTACATACTGCCTTTTTCCTGCATGGGCTGCCCTAAGGGATCTTGGAGACAATTTCCTGGCAACTATTCGAGTGTGTCTGATCTCAATGTTGTCATTAAACTAAGCTCTAGACAGGTATCTGTGGTGCCTTTGGGGAGGGAGCCCCAGGGCACAGTGAGCAAGTCTTCACATACATCCACACCAAACTGCAGACTAAGGAACATGTGATTGAGGCCCTGGGTCGAGCCAAGTGTGAGTTAGTTCCCTGGCTGTGGGGTCAAATATAAACCCACTCATGGTGCCCTTGACAAGTGGCAAACCTGTACTCCTCAGGCTTCTACTGTGTTGTCCTGTACCCCCACCAAATCATGTTTAGTAATAAATCTCACATCCAGTCTGCCCGAAAACTAAAACCAAAAAAAAAAGAAAAAGACATGGGTTTCCTAAGAATAAGGAATTCTCTCGTAAGTTAGACTAGCATTATTATACTCCTGAAAATTATTAGCTGCAGCTGTGGATGTAGATAGAGTAGTAGTATAGCATGTGTAAGGACCTGTGTTTGATACCGGTACCACAAACAAAATTATAAGCAAAAAAAGATGGTGTCTCGAAATGACAAGGAAGCTGCACCCATGATAACACAACAATATATGGCTGCCCAAACAGTGACAATACTGATAGACATGTGAACAAAGAAGAATCCTATTCTTAGAAACTGTCTACAGGCAAATAATGACTGCTGAGAGAAAGAGAAACATTTATTCTCTCACAGAGATGAGCCCCTATTTGGTTATTTAATACAAAAAAACCTCAGCATTGTTAGTATTCAGACATCTGTACTGGCCTGTCCTTGGGGTTCTCACAGGATACGCTCTCAGCTGCAGCCATGAAGAGCACCACCTGTGCACATTCACTATGTTCCCTTTTAAAGGGCCCTGCCCACCTCCCATCTCTCTCTGTGTGTGTCCCTCTTTCTCTCTCTCTCTGCTTCTCTGCCTGTCTTCCCGTTTCCCCTTTTCTCTTCTGCTGCTCCTGTCCCCGGAGGCTGGTCTCCTCTCTCCCTTCCCTCCTTTTCTCATTCCCTTTCCCCTAACAAAAAACCTCTTCATGTGTGCTCTGTGGAAAGGCATCTTTATCTCACACACTGACTCTTAAGTTACAACACACATTATGTACATGCAGTCTCTATTATCTATCATCTATCTTTCTGTCTGTCTGTCTATCTATCTATATATCTGTGTAGATGTTACACATATATGTCTGCGTGTGTGTGTGTGTGTGTGTGTGTGTGTGTGTGTGTGTGTGTGTGTGTGTGTGTGTGTGTACATACAGGTTTAGAGAGAAATGAAAACTTGGTGGAGTCAGTTTCCTCCTTCACCTTTATGTGGCATCTGGGGACTCAAACTCAGGCTGTCAGGCTTGCATAGCTAGCACCGTCAACTGAGGACCATCTTGCAGGAGCCATGTTTTATTTATTTCTTAGATTTGTCTTAACCTTGGAAAGAATACTTCAAAGATGATGTGTTGGCCTATCATAGTCTGAGCCATATAATATGGATATCTCACTGTGGTTAATATTTGGTAGGAACTTAGTTTAAGTGGCAGCTGTTACATGTCGCTGTGTGGTTTGATTGTGATAGAAATCTTGGTCCTCAGTTGGTGGAACTGTTTGTGGCTTACTGAAGGAGGTTTGTCACTGGTGTTGGGTTTGAGGTTTCGAAAGACTCTGAGCTACTCTCTGCCTCCTGTTGTGGATCTGTATGTTAGCTCTCAGTTACTCCTGACTCCATGCCTTTGCTCCACCATTGTGGCCTCTAACCCTATCAAGCCATAAGCCCAATTAACTGCTTTTTTTTTTTTCAAATAAGCTGTCTTGGTTGTCATATTTTGTCAAATAATAGAAAAGTAACTACTACAATCTCCATGATAATATTTTCTGTTTTTAATTAATAAGTAATCTAGACTGACATATTTAAACTGTTGTTTCAGTTAAGTCATTTTCGTTGAAAACCTTTAGTGAGCACTCATGTCCTAGAGTAATATGAAGTTGTTCCTGTCATGGTGGCACAGGCCTGGAGTCCTAGCACTTGGGAGACTGAGGGCTGCATCCACCTACCAATTAGAGACAGACCTGTACAACAGTGTGAGGTTCATTTCTCTCAAACATATAGTCTGCCCCAAACTCAAAACTAGTTCCTGCAATAAAGCCCTTTGTCAGATATGCTTTGAAAATATGTTCTTTTTGCCTATCATTTACCTCTTTGTTTCTTAATGGTTTTGAAGTTCATTTTATCTGTCTTTTTCTTTCCTGGGCCACAATGCTTGTATGTTTTGCCTAACATTTTCTCATGTATTTTTTTTCTGGAAGTTTTACAATTTTAACTTTTGTTTTGGTTTGTATAATTTAATTACTTCTGTTTATTATAAACACCAAAGATTGAGGTTCCCAACTCATCCAGGGATTCTAGTCAGCCCTACTTGTTGAAGTCATTGTCCTTTCTCATTGAATTACCTGGTACTTTGTGCAAGAGTAGTTGACAACATAACCTAGGTGAGAGGTGTTCTATTACAGTGAGCATATCACATTTTTATCATGCAGTTAGCTTCTGGGTGAGTGAGTCATGTTGAAGGTTGAAGGCTAGTATACTTAAGAAATTGGCAGGCTATGGAGGTATAACAGTTGAGTCTTTTAAGGTGGGAGTTCTTCTAATCACTGATTTTTCTTAAAAGCTCTTTTTTTTTAGATTTATTATTTTATTTTCTGTGCATTAGTGTTTTGCCTGCATGTATGTCTGTGCACACTTGTGGTCCTGGTGCCCTTGAAGGATAAAGGTGTTAGATCCCCTGAAACTGGAGTTATGGGTGGATGCAAACCACTCTGTGGGTACTGGGAACCAAACCTGGGTCCTCTACAAGAGTAACAAGTGCTTTCAACCCTTGGGCCATTTCTCCAGCCCTTTTCATTCATTCATTTATTGAACATTCAGAACAATGTTGAATGTCTCTTCTAGATTAAATAGCTCAGTAAGTGGGAGTAGATAATTATTAGAAGAATTCTTAAGAGAACAACCTCACCTTTGTATAATATGTATCATGCTAAGTACCATGAAGGAGAAAAAGTAGGCTTCCTAAGGAGACTATGTAGTGGACCTTAGAAGGCCCCACTGAGGGATGATGGATGGTCCAGACAGGTAAAGCAGCACACTTAAAACAATTGTGATTACAGGTTGAGGAGATGGCTCAGCCAGTAAAGTGCTTGTGGAGCACACAAGATAGCCTGAGTTCAGTTCTCCAACACCCATATAAAAAGCTAGGCATGGCAGCACATACCAGTAATCCTGGTGTTGAGGTGGCAGAGACAAGGATTCTGTTGCCTACTGTCCAACTAGTCATGAGCTCTATGATGAATGAGAAACTCTGTCTCAAAAAATAAGGTGGCATGTAATTGAGGAAGACATCAAATGTTGACTTTTCATCTCCACATGTATGCTCACACGCATATGCTCACACTGGTACCTGCATACACCCAAACATGTTCACATAAAAAAAAAATTAAGAATCTGATCACACAAGTCTAGTATAGCACTGTATTTCTATATCTCAGCCCCCCAGGATGACCAATTTCAAGCCCACTCTGGACTGTATAGTGAGTTCCTGTCTCAAGAAAATGGGGCTGGAGAGATGACTCAGTGGTTAAGAGCACTAGTTGCACTTTCAGAGTCCCCAGTTTCAGTTCCCAGCACCCACTTGGCAGCTAATAATCTTTTTGTAGCCCCAGTTTCTGAGGATACAAAGACCTCTTCTGGACACTGCATAAATGTAGTGCAAAGACATACATAGGCAAACACCCAGTACACCTTAAAAATAAGTAAGTCTTTAATAAAAAAAATTGATTACAAGAATGAACATGGCACATTTGAGGCACTTTAAAAAAGCCAGTGAGTGTAGCAATGGGGAGTGTTGGTAGATGCCGAGGCTTTCTGGGTACTGCCCATGTTGTTCCTGTTCTACATGTTAGCAGTACTGTTTACTAAAGTAGACAGCAACAACAAAACCATGGCAGGTGTATGGAGATGCACCCTTTTAATTCTAGCACTTGAGAGGCAGAGGCAGGTAGATCCCTGTGAATTGGTGGTGAACTTGGTCTACACAATGAGTTTCAGGCTAGTCAAGGCTATACAGTGATACCTTACTAGGCCAAGTCCTTCTGTGTATGTTTATCTTATTGGTTGATAAAGTACTGTTGTCCAATGAGGAAGCAAGTTAGGCGGGACTAGGAGTCAAGGAAGATTCTTGGAAATGTAGTAAAGAGAAGTCTCGTGATTCAGGCAGGAAGTGACATAGCAGGCAGACTCGGGATATAAGCAGGGACAAGCAGGAAATTGTGCTCTTCCTCTTCCTCCTGCTCTCTGCTCTGGCGCCTCCATGTGATCCCGGCAAGACAGGACACATTCTGCCATCATGCTCCATAAGATAAGTCTTATGATTATGGTTGATAATTAAGACTGAGCTATCAGATAAGAAACCCTGATCATTGGCCAGCAGCATTGTACCATATAAGTCTCTGTGTGTTCTTTTGGTGGCCCACATGGCTGCGGGGCTCAGGTGGCTTGGCATAAAAACTTATCGTTACAAAGTGGCATCAGAACTGTGGGTTTTACAAACTTCCACATAAAAAATTTCACAAAAGCTTAATACGGGATTTTAGCAACAAAAGAACAGAGACAAGCATGACTTTTTGGCAACATCATTTTCTCAGGTGGTCTCTGTTTTGCCAGTGACAAGCAGAGACTCTGAGCCGCTCCTTTAAGAGAGGTTTCCTGACTCAGCATAAGTGGAAAAAAAAAAAAACACAGGGCTCCTTTTAAGAGGCCAGGCTAGCTCAGTCAGTAGAGCATGAGACTCTTTTTTTTTTGGTTTTTCGAGACAGGGTTTCTCTGCTTTGGAGGCTGTCCTAGAACTAGCTCTTGTAGACCAGGTTGGTCTTGAACTCACAGAGATCTGCCTGCCTCTGCCTTCTGAGTGCTGGGATTAAAGGTGTGTGCCACCACTGCCTGGTGAGCATAAGACTCTT